CGAGCGCCAAAACGGATTCAAATGCCTGTTAAGTGTCCAGATGACTCCAAATAGGAAACACATGGTAGACGCTTCGAAAACCAATACGTACTGTTTGACTATTTCGTAAATTACTGAAAAGTGTACAGCAATCATCCTACTACAAAACAGACACGTAGTTCCAAGATTCATTTACCTTAATTCGCTCCATTTTCATCCACAAGTCGTCATATTTCAAATTTTCAATGTGTGAATAAATATAAATCATACATTTTAACCCCTCTTTACCGCCATATTTGATTGTCTCGCGACCAAGCCGTGATTTGTAATTACGTAATTTTTGGTAATACTGGTCCCTGATTGGCTAAGTGAACAGTGAACAGTGAACAGTGAATTGAACATGCAGTGAACAGCTAACACGTCGATAGCATATAATCTACTTCGTAGATTCAAAAATTGATTAATTAAAACAATAAAGCGGCTTTGTGTTAAAGTGCCCCTGACACAAAAAATTTTTTTTCAGTCTATTCAAAGTACTCATTTAGTATAGTGTTCTAGCGAAAGAATTTTTCGATTTCATCAAAACGAAAAAATTTTAGAGCCGTTTGAATCCAAATATTTTTGGCTAATGGCCGTCGGCGACAGAAGTCTGGCACTAGCATTTATTCTGACGTCACGCAAGTGAGTCGAGTCTTTTAATCAGCTCGAAGGTTTTGATCAACAGAATCAGTCCGATGATTCCGGAGCGAATTTTATACCTGGTTAATATGTTGTATTGGAAGATGCTGATCTTGTAGCATCTCGTCAGGTCTCTAGTGGTATCTCTGCGACGATTTGGTAATATTAATGATACCACTGGAGACCGTGACGAAAAACTGCCGCTATTATCACAGTTTCACTTCACGGATAAAAACTGTTGTTGGTAAACAAAGTCAGGGACACGAGAAAAACAAAGTAAAACTAGTCTCCCATTTATATTAGCGATTGTTTTTTAGTCGCGCCATGTCTCAGATTTGGCGCATTTTTAATAAACTTCCTACTAACTGAGACGTTCTATGACTTTGCAAGGTTCATATCTCCGGTTCGGTGCATGCTATGAAGACAAAATTACTACCATTCGATTCAGTGAAACAAAATCTCCTTATTTCTAATGATAGTTTTAGTCAAATTGTAGTCAAATAGCTATATATATATATATATATATATATATATATATATATATATATATATATATATATATATATATATATATATATATATATATATATATATATAATACTTAGTTATATATACTATTCAGTACTGATTGATAGTATTTATCGCTTCCCTGCATATATTAAATCACCATCGGCAAACTGTCAGGTTGAGCTCGGTTTTCTGTGCCGTCGAATATTACAAGACCAATCAAAGCCTTTATGGCATAATTATGGCTATGTGCCCGGTTGTTAAAGTGCCCCTGACACAAAAAATTTTATTCAGTCTATTGAAAGTACTCATTTAGTATAGTGTTCTAACGAAAGAATTTTTCGATTTCATCAAAACGAAAACATTTTAGAGCCGTTTGAACACGCAAAATTTGGGCTTTTGGTTGGCAGGCGTCCGTGTTCGAAGGAAACTGGAACGAGCGATTTTTGTTACGTCGCGTCACGCAAGTGAGTCGGCGTATATTCTATTATTCGACTATACTAGTACTATAAACTCTCGGCGGATATATATATAGGTAGGTTTCTGGTCGAAAAAGATATGCCTTTTTACTGTGTTGCAGCTAACAGTACCAATAAAGCATGTTTAAAAGATGGAATAAGTCTACGCAATATTCCATACTTCAATGACGAACACGCGGAAGCTAAAAGACGAAGAAAAGTATGGGTTGATTTTGTATGCGCAAAGCGTTTGTTTGTGCCGTCAAAGACTTCGACTGTATGCTCGGATAATTGTAGAACAGCGTATTACGAGAGGCAATTTTTTTCGTTGCCGGGGCTCGGCAAGCCTAACTATCTGAGCTAATAAAGATTGACGACGATTTGCTTTGTTTTGATTATTCAATTTGTAATTGTATTTCGGTTTTGCGGGCCAGCTAAAAATATAAATACTTTGTAATACCGAAATAAAAGATGCAAATCTGAAGACACAAGCTTGAAAATAACACTCTAAATAGTGTTTTGGATTCCGGTTCGAATAAGACTATTACGAAAAAGATATGTCCAAAGGGGCCGAAGTTATTGTCGGCTAAAGGTATGGCTACTTTACATTGTTTGAGACTAATTGAGTAACCAGACACAGTACTAAAATGCGGTGCCCTGCAAAAAAAATTTCTGGCGTTTCGCGTACAAGTAAACTTATATAAAATAATACGCTAGATGGGGCCCCTAGATTCCCCCTGTTGGTTACATACATACAGTTGTTTCTAGTGAGGGAAAAGTGAGCGCGCGAGGACCCACCATAGAATTTTTATCGAATTTCTAAAGCTTTTTCATGTGACGTCTAACGTTACGCTTACATTTGTTTTGGACTTTGGCCACTGTCAGTTCTATATTTTTATAAAGTTTTGGTTTCTTAGTGTGATAAATCTGTGTATATAGTCTATTTAATGTGGTAAATGCACCTAGCAGATATGACTTGACAGACTTGATATGAAATCTGATCTTAATTTACCTGTATGTCAATGAGACGCACATGTTTAATATCTGTCACCTCTGATTGGCCTTTAACCCTGGTTTTTGCTACTTCAATCTTTGCTACTTCAATATATATTGCTTCTTGTCCTTGTTTTCAGTTCCATTCACAGCTCACTAGTCGCTGCGAGTAATCACTGTGCTTGATATAATTTGTGCTCTTTACTGTGGTTCTATTTGCTTTTAATGCCCGCAGCAATCCCTACCTTTGCAGGTACCCTAGTTTAATATTTAGCACGCTACATTCTCCTGTCGGCCGCCAGTTTGTCCGTACGTTAGGGTCGAAACTGCGTTTTAAAGCCTTGAAAATATAAAATTTTTTTGGCTCAAAATACTATCAAAATGAAGAGAAAAGTGAGACGAATCCACTGGCATACGGCCGAAAACGAGAAAACCCAACAATTCCGAAGTTATCAAGGATCAAACGGACTGCATTTTTAATTAGTTTAGTAATTTTGAGCGATTTGTAAACAATACAATTTCGCTTATTAAAACTGCACATTAAAAGCTTCAAAATATAATATTTTACGCTCAAACTACTAACGAAATAAAGAGAAAAGTGAGACGAACCCACTGGTATACGGCCGAAAAAGAGAAAACCAACAATATGAAAGTTATCAAGGTCGAATGTATTGCATTTTTAATTAGTTTAATAATTTTGAGCGATTTGTGAACAATACAATTTCGCTTGTCTTTCAAAGGCCATAAATCGCTAGAATACTGTAGTTTAGTAATACATTTGACATCTGTGAGTCTAATTTCTTACACTGAATCGAACGGTGGTATTTTTGTCCTTATTGGGCGCATAAAACCAGAGATAAGACGCAGCAAAAAGTCAATCGTGAGAGTTCGAGTTGTAATTCGAAAGAAAACTTTCCTCGAAAAAAGGAATTCGGAAAACGTGAAGGATTATTTTGAGCGGCTTTTGTCTTTCAAAGGCGACAAATAGCTAGAATAGAAGTCAATTTTGAAATCAATTTTCCATCCGTAAACACAACCTTTCACGCTGATTCGAACAGTGGTATTTTTGTCCTTGTTTGACGCATAAAACCAGAGATAAAACTGAGCAAACAGTCAATCACCATGAAAGTACACGATTAATAATAATTAATAAATTCCGAGCACGTGCAAGGAATTTTTGGTACGCGATTAAGGAAACGTATTGATGCGAACAAACTAACAAACTAACAAACTAACAAACAAACGGACAAACTCACAGGCAGAATATAATGCGGTGCCAAAAATGGCACGGGCACCGCAATATAATGAATTATGATACCGCTTGACCTCTCAAAGGTCATAAATATATATATATATATATATATATATATATATATATATATATATATATATATATATATATATATATATATATATATATATATATATATATAATGTCATTTTGTCGTTCCACAACCGGATAATACCAGCTATATCTTGTAACTATGCTGATCTTTTTTTCCAGTTTAAATAAAGTCATTACTATTATCACTTCATTTGTTAAGCCCGCCACACACGAGAGCAACTTGCTCAGCTAACCGCCTCGTGAGGCGATTAGCTCAGCTACAGTATGTATTTTCACCGCACACGTTGGGAAAACTACTCAACAACAACATAATTGACAAAATCATTTGTATTTTCTTCCATTTTGTTCCAAGTCACGTACATGAAGAAACCATGGTTTGTCATTGGCTAATTGATTTAAACAGCTCAGCACTTAGCTCACAACATCCGCAGACGCCGAGATTTTTTCCTAGCGAGGCGAAAAATATCAAACACGATAGATATTTTCCTCAAGGCCTCGAGAGGTCAAATCCTCACGAAAACTATCCGCATGCGAGAGCTACTTGCTGAGCTAGTCGCCTCGCGAGGCGGTTAGCTCAGCAAGTTGCTCTCGTGTTCAGCGGGCTTAAGCCTGTGAAGCATGCCAATTAACCTTTCTCACAATGACGAATATATCTGCCATTTCTGGGTGGCATCTAATTCTCGTTAACCAATGCAGGCAATTAAAACAATGTGCATGAAAAGCAATTTTGCAAAATAAACTAACCATTAACAAAGCAAATTTACCATCATTCGTTAAAAAATTATAAAAAGTCGCTGTTATGTGGACTTATCTCGCAGACTTCGGCTGAAAAGCCACCCAAAAATGGCGGCATGAGAAAGGCTAACTGGAGAAATTAGATTAATTTTACGAATATACTGTACAATACTTAAAATACACGGAATCATCGTCAGCTAAGGAGCCGGCTATAAACTCATTCAACGACTTCTAGACCTTCCAAAAAGCCTTAGGCATTTTTTGTATTCTGGCAGCACACTTATTCATTCTTATAAGACACTTACATCACAGGTGAACGTGCTTGATACTTGATCTGTAGACAAACGAATTTTGTAAGCTTGTGCAAGTTTTTTTAGATGACCTGGTGTAAATACATGTTTAGAAAATATCTAAAATGGAGAAAAAATGCACAAATTAATACAGTGGAATTGATTTAATTGATTTAATAACTTTATTGGTGCCATAAATTACATTGAAATAATTAGTACAACATCAACTGACCCAAAAGGGAAGGTGCAAACGAGACTATATATAGAAGTCCCATGTAAGGCACCTCCCTTCTCTACTAAGTAATAACAGATATTTATAACTATATGTATTATGAAACTATGAAATCAACGAAAGCAGTAAAATGGTCAAACAGGAGTGAATGATGATTTGGAGGTCGAGCTAGTCAACTCTCTTGGAGTGATTAGTTATGTTGACGCACGAAGCATCATCCGTTCCTAATTGAACGTTTTACTTCTAAATAATTAGTTTACTCTATGACCTATGGCAAGAGCAGTCCCGCACTAGACTCCATGTGTACGTCATGTCCACGTCAAAGATTCTGTTCAGCTCTAAACTAAATATGTTTTTAGCCAACATTTTAAACATCGATAAGCTGGAAAAGCTTCGAGAAGTGGAAGTGATCATAATACTGTTCCTGCAGAGCTTGATTATACGGTTGAAATACGATCCTTGGAAGGTGCTTGTTCTGCTCAACGGAGTCTTTAGATTCTAGTTAGAAACTGAATAGATGCAACTAAAAACTACTGCTATATTGCTATAACATTCAAATAAAAATCCATGACAATAAATAACAAACAAAAAACTAAGGAGATAAGTGTCTCCTTTTCAGAGGAGAAAGTTGAAGAAACGAAACGAGCTGTGTTGAGCAAGCTTGCAAGTATATATGACCCCCTCGGACTCGTTTCCCCCCTTTACCTTGCAAGGAAAACTGTTGTACCGAGCCATTTGTGACCAGAAGCTTGCAGTTACCTACCGAATTGAAACGTGCATGGCATCCCAGCAAGTTAACGTGCCTAGATCCTTAGCGGCATATAAACAACCGATACAGTACATTCAGTTACATGGTTTCGGCGATGCAAGTGGTGATGGTGACTTATCATTCCCCGATTGGAATTAGTGGCAGCTCATATGGTGACAAACCTCCTTACCAATGTCAAGGATGCTCTGAATGGTTTCCCTGTTACAGATATTTGTGAGTGGATGGGCAGTTTAGTGGTCCTTCACTGGATCAGAGGTAGAGGTCAGTGCAAACGGTTTGTCAAGAATCGTGTCAGGAAGATTCAAGCAAAACCAGAGATCAAATGGAGACACATCCCTAAGGAAGAAAACTCAGCAGATCTGACAAGCACGGGTGGTGATGTTCAAAACAAGGAGCTGTGGTGGAATAGTCCTGAATGGATGGCCAACCCCCGAGAATTGGCCACAAGATATTGTAAGTCAGTCATCTGCAGAGAGCCAAGCAGAAGCAAGAGTAACCAGGGAAATTTTCGCAGGAGCTACAGAAACCAACACCGCCAGCTAGACCTTGACAATTACGAACTGACTAAAGCAAGAACTGATCATGGCATGGATAGCGAGATTCATTTACAACTGCCAACATCCCAACCACGTCATCCGAGGTCCACTAACAACCGATGAACTAATGTCCCAGCATGGTTTGATCAAACGAGCGCAAAAAAGCAGCGACAATGAGGAAGATCTTTTACGACTTAACCTTCAACCAAATGAACAGGGGATTCTTCAGTGTCGAGGCCGGGTTCAAGGCGAGTACCCAATCTATCTCCCAGACTCTCATCCATACACGACGAAATTGGTGCAACGAGAGCATTTGCGCACTCTTTCTGCCGCGCCCCTTGGTGGAGCGGTCAGTTCGAGCGAATGGTTGGTCTTGTGAAGAACGCTCTACACAAAACCATCGGAAACGGTCTTCTGTCCTGGAAGGGACTCGAGGAAGTCTGCTCGATGCGGAGGTGTGCTTGAATGATAGACCATTGAGCTACGTGGTCGAAGGAATATTTACATGGATTACGAGAAAGACATACATGTAACCTTACCCATAAAATCTAAAATGAATTCAACATCCGTCAACAAAAAGGAGTCGCGCTTATTACTACTCTGTATTAATTTAATTCACTAGGAACCCGTTCTACAATATAAACTAGAAATCGGCCAACAAATTGCCACGAAATACTACAATGAAAATAGGGTCTCTGAACTACCAATTTCACCGAAAGGTCAAGTTTCTCTGCAAAGATCGCCCCTTTGCCTAATTTTCCTCGAGTGGATCATCGTGTTTTTAAGTCAAGGATTATGTATACTTTAACATAAAAGAATAAAAAAGTGGTGATAAAGGGTAGATTTTGAATAAAATACGAATATCTGTATACAAGATCTGAGCGTTATTATATTATAGCACTTGATACTTTCTCCAACAACATATTGTGCTTATTTTTTTACAAAATGAAAAATATTCGCACATTAAAGATATGAAAATGAAGCTTGCATTGAAATGTTGGCTTACCTAAGTTATACCTTATATGTCGATTAAAGTCAAGTAAAGCCCTTTCAAAGACGCGTGCCACGTTAAACTACAGGTCACATGGCGGTAGAGAACTCGACGAAGTATTCACAATATTTCATAGCCAGCTTAAACGCCACTGTGTACTATTCCTGTGAATTATGATGCCCAACACACTGGGTAACACAATTTACCACTTTGTTCGGCTGTTCCAAGTACACTTTTAAGATACAAGGTCCAATCATATCATGTTCTTCGAAGCACTGCTCAAAACATGCGTACAACATACAGTAAGTATCGCCACTCATCTTCTTCGTATGAAAATATAAGTTTTCCTTTCAATTGCTTTGCTTTAAAAACAGTCATTAGGTTAGTATATAACGTCCAACAAAGATTACCCCATTGCTTTCAAAAACCAGTGAATCACAATGCAGAAAACTTCAACATCCTTAGAAATTGTACAGGTAATCCAAACATCAAAAAACAAAATTTGCGGGAAAAAGCTCACAAGCCCGCACTATTTTTATGCAGCGTCGACAAAAGTCCACCCTGTTGGGCTGAAGTATATGGTAAGTATAATGGCAGATGAAGTATAATGGCAAGACATGCCAAAGGCAAGACATGCCAAAATGGAACTCCAAACTCCAAAGTACATGCATATTTCAACCAACCTACAGTATACTTGGCTACTATATTGCATAATACATATTCCATAGATTATAAATAACACTAGAGGAGGCATTGAGGTTAAAATTTGGGGATGCTGCTAATGGCCAGAGTGCATTCCATGCACGTTTTGTGGAAGATCTTCGGTGTGAGTTTTTGAATTGCTGGCGCACAACCACGTTGAGGTTGGCGCACAAGTTTTCAGTTTGATGGTTGACGTAGCATTGCTTATCAGCAAAACATTTTATTAATTATAGTTACATGCTTTTTTAGCAAGTTTAAATTTTATTAACTATGAATGAAAAATCACGGTGCCCGTAATCAGCTGGCGCATAAGTTGACCTCACTTGGTGCACGGCAACACTACCTCAGATTATCTTCGGCGCGAGGTTTACACGGAATGCACCCTGAGCTAATGGGGGGCAAATTTAGGGCCATTTAGGAAAATCATGTTCTTATTGAAACTCCTCACCAATGGGAACACCAGTGGCATCTGGGACTTGAATTTGCCCCCCAATAGCCGCATTCCTTTTTTCAGTCAGTGTTGCCATGGCAATACAATAATTTTAATTTTTGTTATATTTTGTATAACATGCCAAAAATAGTTGAAAGATTAATTGCTTTTAACCGTATAACAATGAATTTCCGAACCATATAACAATTAATTTCCTGGCAAACAGCCATATTTTTGAGATCGGTGAGGAGGTCCACCCATGAACCATAGTCACACACCCACAATCATTGATGAACTTTAGACTTCGCTAATGCTTTCCTTTCCCAGGGTGTAAATAGCCGGGTGGAATTAGTACCCTTGCCCCAGGCTAACGCCTGGAATAGCGTTCAAGCGCTCATACAATGCACTTTTCATCATAACTAATAAAATAATTTTAGGAGTGAATTATGTTCACTTGTTTGCACCTAGAGACCGGACTTCTTGAATAACCATTACTGTTATCGAGGAAGAAAGGGTACACTGTTGTCATGGAAACTATTATGTATGCACATGCATGAGTTGCACAAATTACTTATAATCTGTGTCATTTCCTGATTGGATTCCGATACCCATCAGCTCAAGATCTTTGGCGGAAAGCATAGCCACTTGGCATAGCACAAAGGAGATTTTGGTGTAAAAAAATTAAAAGGCAGCAGATTGGCAAACTGTGTATGCTTAACAAATTTTGTGCTTCTGACGGGTTTTCTAAAGTTGTAATTTTCCTGGTGTAAATCTTTGGTGGGCGAAAACGAAGAAACCCCAATTTGCTGATCCTGATGAAATACCAAAATATTTGAAAATGTGTTGCACAGAATCCTTGAATTTGACTGCACCAACGTACATGATGCAAGAGTCTTATAGTTTATATAACTATATTAAATGTATACTTACAGGCCAATCTTCTGCTTGAAATTCACAGTGTTTACAATGCCTCATTTCTTCTTCTGTTTGTGGGAGACAAAATAGGCTTGTTGTTCCAGTTCCTGCACTGGACTCAGCAGAATCATTGTTCACAACAGCCTCGTTTGGCACACCATACTTCTCCTCGCATGTTTGTGTATCATCCATTTTTCAAGACAGTTTTCTCCAGTGGTTTTAATTCTCTGATTATTTGTGTGATTATGGATTATCCAAATTCCAAAGTACGATTGTGCGAGTGCTCGTTGGAGAGAACTTTTTGTCGCGCATTTTTTCCCCCGACTATTTTCTTCAGTGTTTTCTTTCCGTTCAGGGTTTATCCTTAAAAACAGGAATTTTGCAGGGTTTTGGGAACGGAAAAACTACGAATTTCGAACCAAATTTATATTAATATATATTGGAACAGTTGGACGCCTGTTCGCCAAATTTGATATGTTTATTAAGAACATTTCTGTCGCGATTTCTTGTTTCAAATTAAATTTTACCACCCAAAGTCCCAAAATGTTACAATTTTTCAAACACGCAACAAACACAAAGCCCGCGCTTTCCCGCTCTCGCATTGTTTTTCCACTGATCTCTATTCCCGCCACTCCTTCCGTGTTCCATAGTAAAGTGGATTTTCAGCTTGGAAGAACTTTTTATCGGCCGTCTGCTTGGATTGGAATTTTTGCAGAATTTTAAATGTATTTTTCTTTGCTTTCCTCTTAGGCTCTTAGCTTACTTTCCTCTTTGCACGATGGAGGATTATTTCCTTTTTGGAGGATTATTTTGTTGAACGTAAGGAATTTCATAGCATTTGTTAAGGAATCATCTGCTTCTTAATTTATTAAAGAGCGGAAGTTGAATTTGAACAATATCCACAATAGACACAATACCACCAGTGCTCTCACTTTTAAGGAATTATCCTTAAAAATAGGAATTTTGAAGAGTTTTAAGGATTTTTTTTAAGGAATTTAGGTTTTTGAGCAACATTATATGCGCACATTACATATATTCCTATGTTCTTTATGTCATGTAAATGTACATCTGGCTGTCTTTTCATCAGGGGCGAAACTAGCACCTTTTAATTCGGGTCTGCCAGAATTGCCCTGCCAAAACCGATGATGCCCTGCAGCAAATTTTTATTTCTGGCTACTATTTTTCTCAAAAGTCAAAAATGTTGGCGAGGGGGGTTTGAAAAAATTTTTACGGACATAAACCAGTAAAATTAAGGATCAAAAAAACTTTTTCGTACAAATTCCTGTTAAAACATGGGTGGATCCCTTATTTTTGGACCAATATCTGTAAAATTTAGGTATTTAAATTCTACTCAATTCCCTCTGAAAGCCCTGTAAGTTATTTAATAACTCCACATGGCTATCATTTAAAATCTTTGGTTGCCCTGCCAATCCAGATAATTCGTATTTTGGGTGGTGTCACACCCCCCATACCCCCCTCAAGTTTCGCCCCTGCTTTTCATTAAAATTCTCAAAAGTTAAATGTCAGTATATGTTTCTTCTGATTTCTGAAATCTACAGATTTTCTAAGCTATTCATGCAGCAACGATAAAAAATACATCTTGTTAAATGTTTTCTTTATGACATTGTGCTAACAATCAAATGTTTTCAGTTTTTAGTGCTTAGAAACAAGGTTGAAAAACTGAAAAACAGCAAAAAAGGAGGAAAAAACACTTTTTGCAACTATGTGATCAGGCTTTGTAGTAATTTTTACCAATTTAAGGAATTTTAAGGAAATCTGAGGAATTTTCGAGCTTTTTCTAAGGAATTCGAAAATTTGATTGTGAGAGCACTGAATACCACTGTACACTGAACTGTGACAGAACACCTCTGACTGAACACTACGCAGTACGCAAAAATGGAAAGTGATAAATTGCCGCTTTACGAAGCAGAATGCATCAGCAAAAGAAAGAGAGAACCTGCAAAGAGAAATACTTCAACTGCTATTTTTGTTCTCTTGATATTTCTGGTCTTGACCATATTTATATTCTTGTCATGGTACAACATGGAAAGTAAGTAGACTGTACAGTACTACTGTAGAAATGGTAACTCAACAAAATATAGATTTCATCCCGATGACAGCAGACTTGTTCTTCCCCTTGATCACTGAATAGAGCACTGAGAGCAGGACAAAATCTGTTTGTCGACTAAGTGGTGTGTAGCCAATTGCCTTGAATATTTCTAATGTATATTATGCATGAGTCGATGTAAACCCCTTACCCCTCCCCCCGGGCCAGGATGGGGGTTAATAGGGGATTGGTAGGGGTTTAGGTTTAGATCAGAAAACACTCCCAAGAGGGTGGGGGATTTGAAGCTTTTAGAATTTATTTATCCCCAGGGTATGGGGATTGGGTAGGGATTAATAATGAGCCAGTTGTCGATTTTCAGCGGTTGCATGTTCATCTCAAGTGGCGGTTTATCATCTAGCTCATGTTATCTTTGCTTCATGTGCTTTTGTGCCAAACCTTTTTCAATTGCAATCCACAGTAGTTCATTGTCACAGTCCATATACATAGTTACACCCTGGCCCGGGGTGGGGTGGGGGTCAGGGTTTACATTAACTCATGCATTAACCCTTTAAGTGGCAATCCGCCCAGATAGGCCCTACTTTATTATTTTACTCTAACACCAGATGATTTTACTCATCAGGTGGAGAGTGCTGCCACTCAATGGGTTAATCAGACTATCTGCCCATACACCCTGTTGATCAGACTATCTGCCCATGCACCCTGTTGATCAGACTATCTGCCCATGCACCCTGTTAACCCGTGGCAATGTGCCCAGATGCACCCTACTTTATTATTTTACTCTGTCTAACACCAGACAATTTGACTTGTCAGAGGGAGAGTGCTGCCACTCAAATTGGGTTAATCAGTCTTATATCTTTCATTGTATGTGTTTTAGTACACAATACATGATTGGAGTATTTTTTTATTTTAAAAATGCTGTACCCACTTCTCCAATGACCTCCAGAACTGTTCTTGTGACAATTTGAAATACTGAAAGTATAGAATGATAGAAGTGCAACATATGAAATAATCATAGGCAGCCTAAAAATATGTGTAGATCAAATGCACCAAATGTGGATTATTTAATTTATAAATAAATTAGCTCTCCGGATCCCATCCCTCTGACATATATAATATATATAATAAATATATATACAGTCGAACCCCTATAAGCGGACACCTCTCTTAAGCGGACACCTCTTTTAAGGGACCGGTCATTATTTATGGAAGGGGGGGGGAGGGAAAAAATAAGGGGAGGCCATATGTAGAAATAAATGACAAGAAGGGGGGGCTATTAAATTTTTTCGAGAAAATGACGGGGGAGGGGGGGTGCAATTAAATTTGAAGGAATTTGCTTAATAACCTGGTATCCATTTGGTTGTAAATGTTGCAACTAAATCATGGTCACTGATGTGAAATAGTCTGGATTCATCTTGTCTTCTGTGTGCTGTATGCAAATCAGATTTACGGTTTGCAGACTAGTTAAATTGACAATGTATTATTACATCAGCCCTTGATGTGGTTAAATACATTTAAATTAAGCAAGGTTAACGGCGGATGTATTATGCAGGCCACATCTGCTGAGGGGAGTCTGTGACGTCATATCGATCAAAGGTTGTTTCATGCCTTGTGATCAGTGCTTCGGTCTGGGTATTCATTCTGCCATTGTATGCTTTGCCTAGCTGCAGCAAGTTTTGCGCTTCGATACCTTTTCCCCACCCACCCACCCATGTTCATTCTAAAGGATTTTATCTGGTAGCTAGTATATGTCATTTTATTTTATGTAATTTTTAATCTCACATAAAATAGGATGTATAGACCACTACTATACATTGAATTTCGCAGGTATGCCTAGGCAGAATTGTTATTGCTATCTCCTTTTGCTGCTAATATTACTGATTGTTGTTCTCAGTGTTGCTGCGCAGCTGCTATGGCAATACTTCATACTATCAAGTCTAGTTGCAGCCTTAAACCTTAAACATGGTTACAATCGCCCAGACCAAATGGAAACCTGATTTTAGTGTTATA